CACACACACACACTCACACACAGTCTTCCCTCACACATCTGTGCACATAGCCAATAGCCATAATAATCTAATAGTAAGCTTGCACTCACAAACAGGCTTACGGTCGTTCAATTGTAACTCTGTGGTGTGCGCATGTAGATCCCGGCTGTTGTCCCACTAAAAACCTCTGTAATTACTTGTCAATGAAATTTCAGGATAACATCTTATTTGTGCATGTCTACTGATTTCCTTAAAGGGTGGAGGTGAGGGGGGGGGGGATGCCTCATAAACTGTGGCGTGTACGGAAAGAAAAGGTAGCATAAACAGGGCAAAAGAAAGTGATGGAGAAAAATAATGTTGTTCCATGGTTCACCAATCAGAAACTAGCAAGAAGGGGTTTCTCAACAACAACATGAAATTAATATGCGAGGGTATTACAAGAAACTTTGGTCCAAGTAACGTACACTCACTGAATGTTAAACTTCAATTTTAAAGGAAACAAAGCAGCGAATACAAGAATAGGAAATTCTACGGAACATAATGGTACCCATAGGAACAAGACAGAAAATACACCAATGAAAATGTCTTCACGACGTATGCGGTGCTTATAGAGTAAAGGCAGGGAATACACCAATAGGAAACCCTACCGAACATATACGCTGCATATTGAGAAAAGACAAAAAATACACAAGAGGACAATTTTAGAGAACATAATAGTGCCTATAGTGCAGAGAACGCCAATGGAAAAATTCTACAGAACATTATGTACGGTGCACATAGAGACGAGGATGAGAAAAAAACAATGAAAAATTCCACAGAAATAAATAGTACCCATAGAGACATGACAAAGAGCACACACCAATAAAAATTAATTCGGCAGAACACGCAGTGCCGACAAAAACAAAGCGGAGAATACACCAATGGAAATTCTACAGAATGTAATGATACCCATAGCTACTAGGCGAAAAATGCACTGATAGAAAATTTTAGAGAACATATAGGGTACCTATAGAGACAACATAGAGAATACACTGATAAAAAATTCTACCGAACATAATTATATCCTTGGCAACAAGGGGGAAAACACCATTAGAGCATTATAGAGAACACAATGGTACTCATAAAGACAAGGCAAAGAACATACAAGCGAATACAGCCCATGGACATTTCTACAGACAACATACCGCTGTCAAGCCGTCCGAACTTTCTAAGCCGAGAAAGATTTTTTTTTTCAAGTAAAAGATTTTTTAAAAACAAGTTCATATTTTTAACAAATAATTGTATTTACTCTTTGTATCTTTCATTGCCTTCTTCCTGTTCTTTTCTTTTCTATTCATTTCATTTATTTATTTTTTTTGTTGAAACATTTGAAATTTGAATTTTGAGAAAATATAGTGTCTCGAGAATATAATACAACCAATACCAGAAGTTTAAAAAAACTAATTCTTGCTCAAAAAATAAATTTTGGGCACAATAAAAAAAACATGATATTAGGAGCTGGCCGACCTTTCCGTACCCACCCATATAGAATCCGGTTTTGGTCCTCTTTGTGTTCCCGTCCACGTAGGTGACCGTGTAGGAATTCCTGGGCGCCTTGCCGAAGCCCTGCACCATCATGCCGATAAAGATGATGACCAGGGAGATGGTCGCCACGTCGTCCTTCCCTCGACCGGCCGCCTTGTCGCTTTCCTCAGATCCTATGGGTGAGTGCTAGAATTATTGCTTGAATAATTATGTCTGTGCCCAGAAGTATTGGTTGAATTATCTGTATGCCACTCATACCATGGCATCATTTTGGGTAATTTTTTCATATATATATATGTGTGTACGTTATTGTATATTGCTTGAGAAGAAAGGAAGTAGTAAGAAAGGTTTTTGAAAAATGGGTATTCCAATGTAAAGCGCATTGAGCTACTTTTTTTGGAAATGCGCTATATAAATGTTATATATTATTATTATTATTATTATCAAGCTTATAACTA